TTTTTTTTTCAAAAGTACCGATAGTATATCATATATCCAATTTCTTATAATAACGTCTATTAGGGTAACAATTTTTTAAAAATAACAATAGTGTTTATCATTAATCAGCAGTTTGAATATTTGTATAATATATATTCAATTTACTACAACAGTGTAAGCAGTAGAAACACAGTGGCGATCTCAAAAATGCTATATTAGAAATATCTCCATACAGATTTTTAAAATTGAAACATCTATGCTTTTTTTTCAAGCAATCGAACACTTTAATCTCATCTTATTAAAAAAATTCGTTCTGAGCTGAAATATTATAATTCTCTCAAATCGTTTTGTTACAGCTCGATACTAAAGTATTGTTATGCTAATCACAATTCGTCGATTTCCACAACAACGCATTCTGTACGGGGTTACAACAATCGAAAGAGGATGTGTGTGTTTACCACAAATCTGGCGACAATCCCTAATATCGCGCCAAGTGGGTTGTATCCTTGAGTCTTTGTAAATACGCCCCCGGGTCGCCAGTTGGAAACCCCTGATTTAATACAACAGTGCAGCAAATTTCCCCACAAAATATTTTCCATATAACAAAGTGGCTGACTCCAATCATATGATATGATCATCAATAAGATCAAGATATCTTCAGCTGTTACCAGTTAACTAAATAAAAATTATAACAATAATTACCGATACACACATTCTTAATATTATTCAGACATTATCACACATATTTAATATTATTCACACATTCTTAATATTATATTTAATATTATTAAAGGCTCAAAACAAAAATTGATGCTTCTTTATATTACAAAGAAATTCAATTTTAGTTTTAGATTTAATAAACAGTAAATAGGTTACAGTAGCATTTTAGTAAGCTATAGTTACTTTCATTATTAATTAAGTAAAACTGCATTCAGTTAATGCATATAATTAAAATAAAGAACACAATATAAAAAAAATTCTTAAGCAATGCTTAACAAGGTTTTACAGTATCAAAAATTTTTTTAAATATGATTTAAAAAAAACGAAAATTGCAGATGAAGTTTAAATGGTAGACGAACAAAAATTGCGTATGACCTGAATGGTGGATGAACAACTTATACACCATTCTATGTTTAAAATGAGGCTTTATGCAAGGATTATAAAGAATTTGTTGAATGTTTTGTTAGGAGTTTGAATAATTGAAGTGAAAGGAGTTTGAAGAGAGAGAAGGAGAAAGGTTTGAAACAGCAAAAGGTGACGGAAGTCAAAAAAGGTGTTGGATAGAAAGAAAAATAGAACAGCCTAAGACAATGATTTTGAAGATGGTGGGAATTGGATTAGGGGAGAAGACACGTTTATACAGAGTTAGGGGGTATTTAATGTAAAAGGAGTTGCAGTTATAATTAAGATGGTCAAAATTAACTGCTATGCAAATACACATAGTTTCTTTTTAGGTAAATCAGTTAAAATAGTTTCTTTTTGGGTAAATCAAGACAGCAAGGACGATTTTTACACTTTATAATTTAATTCTTCAGGTCGGTAATCAGTTATACATGATTGTACAATTTTGGGGGATCTACATAAAATGAACATCATATCTAAAACAAATATTTCTGGCTCTTGCGGCCCAAGATCACAAAGACATAAAAAATTTACTCTTTAGTACACATATTTTCGGAGTGAGTGAAACTGGGAAGCACTTTTTTCTCTTTCTACTGTAGAGCTGAGTTCAGGCTTTCTTTTGGAGATTAAGAAAGCTCAAGTTTAAAGAATTTTATTCTGAGCTTGAGATACATAGGATTACTTAGAGCCCAAGTTTGGGAAGATGAATGTCAGATAAATTAAAATTTCATGAATGTTGTTTTTACTAGAACATACCATTACAAAACATTAAATATTATTTGTACTACTAGACTTAATTTCTAACTGTGCCATTTGAACGCAGGAAATTCGTCACACTAGCTCAATTTGCATTTTGCTTAAGTCGACCCGTCTGGGAATGACGTCTAACACCTGACATAGTACCAACTGAAACTCCATTATAACTAAATCAAATAAAGAAAAACAAAATCTCAAACTAAGTAAAAGTACCTTGACATGTAATTTTAACCTATCAAAGTCAAAGCACTAAACAGAAGTAGCAGGCAGCTGCAATTTTTCATACTTTACAATTTTTACCTTTTTAATACTTAAAAACTGAATCAAACATTTGTTTGGAAGTAGTAAATAAAAATTATATCAGGGGTCCAAGCCTATCTGAGCTCAACAGTTTCTCAATTGAGCCAAAACCAGTCTCATCTCTATTCTACTGGTCCTGGTGTGTTTAAACATGGTTTGGTTCCAATAAGAATTTTTTAACATAAGAATAAGAACTAAAATTTTGACAGTAAACATAGAACATATGAATGGAAATATGGTATAAGACATACATGCGGAGATCCCAAATCTTGACCGTGTTGTGTGCTGCAGAAAATAGTGTTGTGCCATATTTATTGAGAGCAATGTCATTCACCTGATGTTCTCCCTGAGGCATCAATAATGACCTGGATGGAGTATTTAAAAAAGGCTGTCCAGGATTAGAATTACCAGAGGAACTAAAACAACAAAAAAACATTACTTACTCAACAAAGATAAATAAATCAAAAGAAATCATTATAGAATCATAATCAGTATTCATTCTTTTCATTTTTCTACCTCAAAATGACCAAAAACACAGGTTATCAAACAAAAAATTCTAAAGAAAACATGTAAAAAACAAGTCCAAATGATTCGGAAAGTCAACTACTACCTCTTCCCTAACTGCTGAGATAACTCAAGTTCAGCGATTCTAAGGTTTTCTTTGGTTATGGAAATCTAAAAAATCAACTTTCCTTTCGAGGAAACTACTAGACTTTATGAATAAAGTTTATTAGCAATTGTGAACTTGTTAATCAATGAAAGACTATTAAAAATATTTCATGTAAAAGATCTTTTTTTTTTCTTATTAGTATTAGTCTTGCAATTAAGTTTGATGAATGACACTTGAATATACAGAGTGACATCCAGTCTTGCTCTGAATTTGATTTTGGTGTATGCATAAGCTGAACTATGGTTTTCATCAAATTAAAGCAAAAAAGGGCCAAAATCAACAATAAGAATGGCTATCAGAGAAACATACTTCTCATTTTAAAAAGAAAGGTTCAATGTGCAATGCTAATACAATCATTTATATGTATATCCTTTTCAATATTTAAACAATATAATCTTATTAGATAAAAGATATATAGATTTTTAAATTTTGCTTTTTCTTTATTCACTAGCATTTTGCTTAAATGTTTTTATAAAAAAAAACACTAAAATGTTAAAAAAAAATAGCTCAGGACATAAAATTTTATTTCTGAAGGTACTAGCCAGACTAAAATTTTAGATCATGACAATTAAAAAAATAAATAAATAAAATTTTTACAGATATAAAGAACTTTTTGGAGAATGAAACATTAAAAGAATGCAGAAACTGAAAAATTGAGATATATTTTGAGCAAAGTAATAATAGGTTACTTTGCAATCAAGATGTAACTGTCAAGATGGTAAAAAGGTTCAATGACATCATTATAATATAAAAACATATCATTATAAGTTATTAAATATCAGAATGTGTCCATATTTTTAGCACTTCATGTTTGCATGCTGTTACTTTTTTATACAAAAACACTACGTGTCTATTGCAGATCTAGTGACAAAGTGTTCCACTCTAGGGTCTAACTCTGTTTTTATAGAGTCAAACTTTGTTACTTATGTTGGAAATTTTGTACCCTGAATAAAGTATAATTGATGGGATATAAATTTAATTACAGATTTCAAAAATCATAATTGGTTAAAAAAAGTCCCAACATTTAGAACTCCCCCCCCCCCAAACCCTTCTTAAGGGTTCTGTGGAACACTTTTTGTGAGCCGTAGCTCTAGGTAGTAAACTGATGATAAAACTAAATGCATTTTCACCTGTAAAAAAATTAAATTTCAACTTAAAAACTATACATTGTTTTGCTACAGTTCCATTAATTTAACAATGGAATAAAATAATATACTTCAATACAAATTTAAAATATTTCCTAATGTTTATGCTTTACAAGTCTACATGAGATTTTGTTTACCATAATGTTTGAACACACTTCGCAGGATTTTCCCTTACATCCCAGACTTTAACAAAAGCAGATGATACACTGAATCCAAGCCGAGTGTATTCACTATATCGAACAGAAACTACATTATTTGGATGTCCGCTTAGGCTTTGTATTTCTTTTCCAGTGCCTAGATCCCATATTTTAACAGTACGATCTGAAAGAAACATTTATTAATTCATGTAGAGATAGATAATTGCTGCTTTCAAATACCATTTAATATCTTAGTTTACCTTTAGATCCACTAAATAAAACATCATCAGTAGCATGAAGGCACAAAACAGGTCGACTGTGACCTTCAGCTGTATGGGAACATATAAGAGGTGAATTTTTGACCTGATTTGATTTCAGTGTAAAAGGATAAATGACTCCACTGAAAAAGAAAAAAACTTTGTTAAGACTTAAAATTAACGCATAATGAATATATTTAATAAAAAATAGTGAGAAATTTGGAGATTTTCTATAAGACCTTTCTGTTAAACACTTCTCTTAATACATTGACTGCCGCAAGCATTTACAGTGAAAACGTCAGGCCACAAGTACCGCTATACGAAGCATATTCTGCTAAGTACTCCCAGCAGTATTTTAATAATTTGAGTCTCAGGTGGTCACAAGAACAATATCTCACTCTGTTTGTTTCCATGGTATTTGGTTTGTTTATTTGTGTCTGTTGCTTCCCATCTGTTTCTCATCTCGCCACTTTACACGATCAGTTTGAATCTTTGCCGAGTAAAGAGAAGTATAACTTAAAATATTTAGCCTAATCCCTTGAAATTTCGTAATGAAAAACTTATTCCTTAGTGAGTCAAATAGCAGTGAACAAGAAAGCTTTTACGAGGCTCACAATAGTTTTCTTAATAAATCACTTTTGTATTACTTTTATAAGAATTCAATAGTTTTGTTACTTCCTGAGAAATATCTTTTCAAATATATACAAATATCATTGGCAAGTAATCAAATAAGCGTCACCCCAATACGGGTGATGGGACCCGATCAGAAACGTGATGATATGAGTGACGCAGCAGCCAATGTGTTAAATATGTGGTCGAGAAAAGGAACAAAATCAAAATGTAAATTAGATAAGCACAACATTCAACTCATTTTGATTAGTTGTTTCTCCCACATCCCATAAATTATTAGATAAAGCAAATAATAAGATATAAATTGTTTTACCTGCCAGGTTTATTCAGTCTAAAAGATCCATGGGTCAAGCGGCTGAAAACATTATCTTCACGACCTTTTCTCATGGAAGAAGGGGAACCGGGAGGGCTTATATCAGAGACTGTAGTTTCACTGAAATTAACAAATAATTTATTTCAAACTGTTTTTTAATTTTATAAATATATTCCCTACCTTTTTCCCTGAAGAGATTATTAAGAACAGAGTCATAGAATAGACAAATAATTTTAAAACTTTCACAAGAACATGTTACAGTGAAACATGAACAGAAATGTAAACATATTTAACACTAAAAAAAAGCATATCTATACAATAAATTAATAAACAAATGAATTATACAAAAGAATTTTTAAAATGTCTTTCTATCATTTTTATTTTATTCAAAATCATCAAATTTCAGTCATTTTCAATCATGCGGATATATGCTAGAAGTTGAATCTTTTCTATCAAACTGAACTTTATATCAACTTTCATCTCTATAAAAACAATATATATTTTTATACATATTAATTTTTCTTTTAAAAAATTATTTTTTCTTTATTTCGTTTCTTGTTTTCTTTAAATTTTTAATCCATTTTACGGGTTCTATGTATTTGTAGCTTATGTGCAGTTGCTAAAACCCAATAATTCTTCATTTTCTTTCGAAATTTCGATTTTCTTCAAGCTTTCTTTTCTTTTGCCTCTTTACTGTGTATAGGTTCTATACATAGAACCTATATTAAAAGACTATTTTATCCTACTGACAGCTATAATTTAATGTTCTTTTTCCAAAAATAAAGCCTGTAAAAAGTAATATGTAATAATTATAATAAAAATTTTAAAGTTTCAATATTGGCCTTATATTAAAAAAAAAAGTTTTAAAAATTGAGGAAGATGGTGAATTTTTTGAACATCATTTAAAATGATATTAACTAGATTTAAAACATAGACATTTTATACACATATTGATAAAATTAAAGATATTTTAATCCCCATCACCATAAATACAATTATGCAAACAAACCCAGGCATGCAGTGCATAAATTGTTAATAAACAAAAACACCCACAAGCAGAGCTGTATAAATATTAACTATAATTATGACCTAGACATTTTTACACACACAAATTGATCAAAACATTTTGTTTTTAATCCCCATCATTATAAATGATTGTGCAAGCAATCCTGAGCATGCATTACATAAATTTCTAAAAAATAAAACACCCACAAGCAGAGGAGTAATAATATTAACTGTATTGATAACCCAGACAATTTTGCACACACAAATTGATAAAAAAGAATGATTTTTTAACACCCATTACTCAAGTTGTTAAAAATAATACTATAAGTAGAACTTATTAAGGGTGTTTTAACTTATTTTTATGCACATATACTGATAAAAGCAATAATTTATTAATTCCCATCACCACAAATACAATTGTGCAAATAACTTTGTGCATGCATTGCCTAAATGCTAAGTAATATACCTATAAGCAGATTTGTAATAATGTTACAACTTACGTTGAGCTCTGACGAGACAACGACGGAAAGGGTATTACGCTAGAATTTGAATCAAATTTTCTGTGGAAAGCAGGTGATAATTCAGCCATATGCGATTTCTCTTTGCTTCTTCTCTTAGATAAAGGAGATCTTTCAATTTTTTTACTATAAATCATGTCTCTATAATAAGCATCAAAAGAAGGAGAGAAATATTATAGAAAGGCTAGTAGCATTATAAGCAAACATTTAAGATGTTCATAAGGAAGATCTTCCTTTGAATAAAATAAATAGTTTTGTTTGAATAAGCATAATGCAGTTTCATTTAAATAAACATGAAGAAAGAGCATTACAATAAACAAAGAAAGAGGTTCAGGAGCATGAAAAAGAAAAATCTAGGAATATGGCAATTTTAAACAGGTTAAGCATTACAGTGATTTTTTACCTATATGTAGGGAACAGCCGGAAAAAAATATATAAGTGCATAATGCCTGAGAGTAAGCAATACACTATATTGTTATTTACAACAGTAACAACTCAATATAATGACTACAGCATATTAGGAGAAGTTAGCTGTTTCCAGTTCCCGGCCAAAATATTAGTATTATAAATACAGAAATTGTATGTTTATAATGAGCAGAAATTACTAGTTTCATTCATTGTAAAAAAAAAAAATTCCGGGGGAAATATGTTTTTCTTCTATTTAAGTGAGCAATATCATAGTACAAAGGTCAAAATAAAGAAACTTTTATTAATTTCTAATATCAATACAGAAATGGTAAAAACTGATACTACTTCACTTTTATCTTTATAGTGACCACCACCTAAGTTATTTTTCTCCTTCCAAAAGAAAAAAATTTTCTCTTACTTTTAAGAATCCTGTTGCACGTTTCAAAAGAATTTGTCTTTTGTTGACCATATATTTATAATTGCCCCCTTATTTCTCTTCTTGATAGCTTATTATCGAAATAAATATTCAGCGATATTGATGACATTATATGTAATGAAAACTCCCAGTTCAGTCTACAATCTGTGAACAAAAGCACTCGATTCTATAATTTATACCAAAATTATTGTTTAAAATAGAAGAGAAAGAGGTAAATGCATCTTTTATATTTATTATAATCACAAGCTCATTATAATGATACAGTTTGCTAAGATGAATTGTCGTTATAAAGGACTTATAGTGCAAAATAAGATTTAGTTACAAAATGTAATTAATTTGCCTTTGCTTTGTAAACATTTTTGCAACATAAATGTAATTTTTTTAATTAATTTTTTTAACTTTATGCATTAATTTGTGAGTTCATTACCTAATTATTATTTTTTATATCTTTTAAGTTATTAATTTATGTTGACCCGTATTCATTATTTTACTTTATCGTTCGTAATGATCCTTAAAAAAGATCGATAGAAGTTCTACTGCATGTTCCTTCCTGAATTTAATCCCCTGTAATTTTGATTAGCTACAATTACTGTTGTCCAACTTTTTTAAAATTCCTCTTCATATTGATTCGAAAACATTAAAATGTTATGCTTAAGTTTTTATATTTTGTGAGGTGCATGAATTTTCTTTTGAGTTTATAACATTAATGAAAACAATTCCCCTCTTTTACACATCTGAACACAACAGGAAGGAAAATGTTTTATTAGAATATGATTAATAGATGGCAAAGGAGGAGGGTGGAGTTTAGCTAAAGACAGGACAGAAGTATTAAAGAAGGAAACTATTTTTTAAAGCAGGTTTAAAAAATAATGCACATTTGAATCATATTTCTAACCACTATGTAAATGCATAAATTGGTTAATTACACATATATTTTATGTTATGAATGTGCAAGTACCAGAAAATCACTAAAAGAAAAAATAAATTGGGAGGAGCAGTCCTAGTTAGATTTATCACTGCAATGCAAATAGATTGAATATCTACTATGTAATTGATGAATTGTTATCAAAAAGCAATGATACTTCCAACGGGGAAGCTTCTTAGAAATACCATTAATGATAAACTCTCTGTAAACTGGAAAGGAAAATAAAATGAAAATATGCTTAGCTGAACATGACTCACCTTTATGACTAAGCATGCTGAATAAAGATATTTTTTTTGTTGCAGATTTGAACCCTCAAATACATGTATCATATAAATGTATCATATATACCTCAAATAAATGAAATTTGGAAAGTATGGCCTTAAAATTTTAGAAAGAAGAATGGTCTAAAGTTAGGGCCAATTAACAATAGTTTCAGCTTTTGAGTAATTCATCATATCCATAGAACTATTTAAGAAAACAAAAACATTTTGATCACAATTGAATTATAAAACTGTTTTATCCCTAATTCTATGCTTAAATAATTTTTTATGTTTATATACAATGTTATTTTACTGTTGGTTAGAATGCACGCCTTGAACCTTTTTAGTTCAATATAATGACTGAAATTTAGTCATTTTATTTTTAGGATGTTACCACACAATAAATATAAATCACATTGAATCTCTTTTCAATGAAGGAAAAGTGACATATCCTTCGAAAATCTAATCAGATATGTGATTGCTGGAAAAAGAAATTATCTGAAATTATTTAGAAACTTTATGGTTAAATAGTTTCACTTTCAAATAAATTTCATTACCTATTTTGTAACACAAAAGTATTATTTATAAATTTCAAAGGGAGATTTAACCAATAAAAGTTATGCTTAGCAATTTCAGAAAATAATATACATTCTAATATTAAGGGTAACATTACTGAATTTCAAAGAAAAACAAAATTACATGTTCCTCCATTTTCGCATTTTGCAAGTCATCATCGCATTAAAAAAAAAACTTAATTCCAAAATAAGTGAAATCTGCTGCTAAAAAGAGATTTATGATATCCATATTCATGATGAAATTAAACAAATTGGACATGCCAGAAAGAGATTAATCAAATGCAAGTTTAAAAATTTTTGTGTTTTAATAAATGATATCCTAGTAAAAACATCAGGATTTTAAAATCATATAAAATCAGTGACAATAAATTCTGAAAGATCTATTGAATAATTGTGTAAAATACAAAACAATTAAGTGTGTAATTAGAATTTTTTAAAATTGTAATGATATGGTATGGAATAAATATAGCAGGATTTTAAAAACTATGAAGAAATCAGGAACAATAACTGTGAAAAAGTCTATCGAAAAAGTAGTGGTATCACCGTGTCAAAAGATTAGCTAATTAAATGTGCGAGATTTTCATGTGTCCTTATAATATTAAAAGAAGAAAAAATTTAAAAAACCTAGGGAAAATTGGCAGTCCATTTTGCAAAACATTAAGAAAATGATAATTTGAGAATGATCCCTCAGTTCAGTGTTCTTAAAAATTCTGGGGTTTTTCAATATCAAAATGGCTCGACAGCCCAGGGTGGGCCTTGGCCTTCTCAAGAAGTTTTTTTCAGGCTAACTTTTTTTTTTGCTAGTGTTTTCCAATTTTTATGTTTTAAGACCAAAAGGTCCTTCTCTAGGCCATCTATCCATCTCAAATTCGACCTGCCTCTTTTTCGTGTGCCAACTGGTCTGGCATTGAAAACTCTTTTTGTGGTATGGTCTTCGTTCATTCTGATAATGTGGCCTGCTCATTTTATTCTTTGTCGTTTTACAAAGTTAATAATGTCAGGTTCATTATATGAGTGATAAAGCTCTAGATTTGATCTTCTAACCCACAAACCACTTTTTTTTTTTTAATTCCTCCAAAAATACTTCACAAGACCTTTCTCTCAAAGGTACCCAACATAGCTTCATCTGTACAAGATATGGTCCAGGTTTCACAAGCATATGTTAAAATTGATCTTATAAGAGGTTTATATAATAAAACTGGAGATCATTGGATTTTTAATTGTATAAAAAATGCAAATAGAGCTCAAATCATAATTTTAAAAACAATTTAACTCCATCAACCAGAAGGAACTCACATTCTATAAATAGTAAGAATGTATATGGCCATAATTCACCCTTATAAAATGTCATTAAAGAAGAACTTAAATGATTAATTTTAATTTTTTCCTATTTTTTCAAGCGCCCCCTTAAAAAAAACTGAAACTAATTAAGTAGAATGCCTAAATAAGACAATTCAATCACTTTATACAATTTGTGAATGCTTTTCCAATTTAACATACCAAATATTTGACACTTGAGAATAATTAATTTATAATTAAAAACGAGTATAAAAAAAAAGTGGAATTCCGTGGAAACGCAGAAGAGGGTCACCTTTGATAAAGCAAAAGAGCCTTTTTGTTCCAATTTCCTAACTTAAAAAATATTGAGTTAGTGCATGTAATGACATTGAAACCCGATAACTAGATCCAAATTTATAAAGCTGTTTTGCTTCTTATTTTGCAAAATGCGCTAGTTCATGCTTCAAAATGGTCACTTTACTTATATCTAAATTCTTTACTAAAATGAATTCACTTTAAAAGAAATTTCTTACTGAAGAGAGGTTGGAGCACTGGTTACTCTAACTATTCCACGCTGGTCCAAGTGATTGGAAGAGCTAGTTAGAGTTTTATCCAAATCTAATTCTTGTTGAAGTTGAGCTCCATGCAATGACCAAGCTAACCTTGAAGATGTTGGTTTTTCAGGAGGATCATTCACAGATGGACAAGAACCAGCAGGTGTTGTTAGCTGTTGCTGATCTAAGCTCAAACTCATAAACTCAGAAGGCAGACCTGTCTTCCTGGGACGTTTCTGGGAAAATTTAATTTAGAGTAAAAAGGCTGTATTGAAATGACACCATATAAAAACTGAAATAGAAGCCATCTAATAAAAGAATAAGATAAACATTATAAACCTTCACTGAATGTTATACAGAAAAACATAAAAATCATTTTTAATTTGCTAGATACTTCCAGTAACCAACTCAATTCTTCTAACACAGAATATCACCGAAATTCGATTGTAGGTTCAGATGCACCGATGCTTGTGTACCTGAACTTTATACATCATACCTGCCAATCCCAATTTTTAAAATTGCAGGAAAAAAAAATCACATAAAGTACAGAAGATTTCATGAAGTTCAAATCTATTGTAAATTTACAGTAATTAAGTATTAAAATATTAAATCATGAAATGTCTATGAGCCTTCCATTTTGTCATTTTATTTTAATACGAAACGACTGATTACATAATGAATTTAACTTTATTTTGTTATAAATGAGAACCCCTACCATGATCATTTCAAGTAATTTGGGCAAAGAAGCGGAAAGTTTCCGCAAAATGCATAGGTGTAGCCATCATGTAAAAAAAATAGGTTACTCAAACTGTGCTTAAAACAACATCTAATAGGAAAAGTCTTCAAGGTTTATTAAGATTGTCAAGCTTGTGTTAACAGCTCAATATTAAAGACAGCCTTCAAAGTAATTAATTTTTAAAACCTTCTATAGAAAATTGATGTAATAATCAACACATAGTGTTGGAATGGAAAAGAATAAAACTCTAACAATACCCATTTAACAAAATTTGTTACTTTAAGCAGGTAAGGAAAAATCTGTATGCCACAATTACACAAGAGAAAAAAAAATAATTTATAGGAATAAATTTCTTTTCTACAGATCTAAAATATATATCATAGTATTCTGAAACCAGTCATGCTTATTGATATGGTTGTAATTTGTTTGGTTCTTACTCAAAACCATATCACTTAGGAAGGTGGAAACATATTAAAGTAAACAGCATAAAGATATAGAAATTTTCAGTTTATGAGGCATCTTATGTGTAATCTGAAATAACATTAATAACTAATAAGACTTAGTTGTATAGTGAATAAAATTTGCTTTAAGGCAGATGAAGTCTGAGAGAACAAAAAAGCATAGCATTTAATAGTAATAAAATCAAATGAATTTTTTTCAAAAAAAAAAAGTATTAACCATTTAAAGAAAACTTACTTTAGTTTTTGAAGAATCAGACACTGGCTGAGCTTCTGAAACACTGCTGGAGAAGAAGTTACACCAAAATTAAAATTAGATTTGTTAAAGGGAAAGAAAAAAATTTTGCAAGCAATGCATTCAAAATATAATACCATTCTCTTAAGGGCTTTCAGCATTAAAATTATTTTCGATTACATTTTGCAATTTTTTTAATATGATTTTCTTTCTTGGTAATTTTAAACACTTTATTTTGAATTAAAAAAAAAATATATATATATATATCAATAAAATAACAAAAACTAGTTTTTCACCTTTATAAATCGTAATAAAATACTGTAAAGCAATTAAAATGAGGTGAAAAAAAAACCTTTCTATAACATGATAAACTTAAAAATGTTACATGTTTTAAGTGTTTTGTTTTTTAAAAAATAACCTATAAATGGTTTAGTTTTTACCAGTTAATATAAAATTGCAAAATAATGTAAGCTATTTTTTTTAAAATTCAAAGTGCTGAAAAAATGGCAATGTATGGAACTTCTATGAACTGCAAAATTTTTTTAAAAATACATATAAACAAATAAAAAGGTACTCAAGGCAATTCAATTCTGAGCATTATGTTTTTTCCCTTTTTATTTTTAAATAGCAGCAAAATAAACTGAGCAATACTGAAAGCTATATACAATATTAAAAATGTTACCTCAAACAAATTAGATTTTAGATCCTTTATTTCTCTTATCTATGTATATTTTTAAAAATTAAATACATGAATTATACAAGAACATTATAACTGCTAACTATATAGAAATTTAAAAGTTTTTTAAGGAAAAGAAAAACTAAATTGTGTTTAACATAATTCTTTTTTATACTTTTTTTCAAAAAGAAATTAGACAGAACTTTTACACAAAGAACTAAAAAATAAAAAGGTATTCAACATTTTGAGCTCTGCTAAAATAAAGATGTGTTTTGTTTTCAGTACTAAGATCCCAATTTTTATGCAACCACACACACACACACACACATATANTATATAAACTTGATATATTTAAAAAGTGGGATACCCCTTTAAATAATTCAGCAATAATTCAGTCTTTGATTCTAAATAGAAAAACTATGTTTATGTATTATTTTATGTAATGATAAAAATTAAGAATTGAATATAAATGAAATTATAGTTTATAGTTTTCCTGTGAGAAAAAAAATGCAAAAGACAAAATTAGAAGTAATTCTTAATAAAAAGCAAGAAATACTTACCTATCAACGGGAGAGGAGGAGCGTGTACTAGATTGACTGCGTGGCGCTAAACAATTTTAAGAAAATTAAATATATAATTAATACATTAAAATAATGATAGATTAAATACTATATTTAGAATAAAATAATATTAAATTCAGCGCAGTTGTTTTGGCAGAGTTATTTTGAGAAGTGTTAATTTGTTAAAAATTTTTATATAAAAATGATTTAGCTTTTGAAAATGCTAAACATGAGGCTTCAGTAAAATTTTTATCATTATCATCAACCAACAATAGTCAAGCACGTAGTTCCATTTTTATGGCTTTATCTTATAACAGTAAAAGAAAAAAATGAACAAAAATAAAAAGATAATAATTTAATTTCCTTATCAAGTTGAAAAATTCAATAAAATTAAAATTATTTAAAAATAGTTCATTTTCACAAAACAAAGAAAGTTTTTAGTTATTTTAAGCAAGGAACACATTTTAGTTTTGAACATCTTTTGTAATTGACAAGTTGCTAAGTAGTTAAAATGTAATATTTGTTCTTGGAAAACAAATTTACAGAACAAAACAAAAAAAAACAATTTCTTTTGTCAGTCATAAATTTTAATAAGCTATAAAAAATTTGCAACATACAACTAAACAAAAATAAAATAATTAAATAAGTAACATTACCTTCATCAAGATAATTTGAAGTGGCAAAATCCAGTACCTCTGTGTTTCCATCTTCAACAAGACGCTCCAGAAACATAAGGTAAATATTATTACTGTTAGTAGATTGATTTAATTTAACTTCAAGCTCTTTGATGGAATTTTCTTTTTGGAACACTTGAGTAGTCTGAAATGATTGTATCTTTTTAACAGCAAATTCAGTCATAAAATTAATGTTCATTATTAATGTAAACATAAAAATAATGTAATGTTTTGAAAGTACATTACAAGAATTTATTTTTCATTTATACCTACAGGCTATATTATCTGAACAATGATTCTGCTAAATTTTTGAAAACTATGGGTCCTCAGGACTTTAATATTTCTGCATCAGTCTTCATCAAAAGCAGGTGTTAATTAATTACATTATAACTAATTTAAAGATCCACATGAAGAGTGAATATTTTTTTATTTTATCAAAAGATGTTATTTTTACTAAAAGTTAGTTTAAAACTTTCTAAATAACAAATTTCATGTGAAATAAAATTAATTTGCAATTTAAACAATGTTTTTAAAATTAATATTTTTTTTAAATTAAAATGTAGAAAAAAGGGGGAAATATATTTTAAAAAAAGATAGAAATGATCTGTGATATTGAGAAAATAATAAATTTTCTACCTCTTTATCCAACTAACTAATATGCACATTTAAAGACATTCCATCTTAAAACAAATAAAGAAATGAGTTATATTTGAAGTTTTGTTCATACATAAGAGTAGAAAAAAAAAAATTTTTCTTCTTCCCTTTTCAAAGGTAGTTTAATTTTGCATAAACCAAATAAATTCTATGGAGCTAATTTTTTTTTCCTGTTGCGGGAAATTTCATTCATCATAACTTTACCTTTGCATCCTATCTGCAATTTTCGGCGTATTTAATATGCTACAATGCATAAGTAGAGTGATGATATATTAAAAAGATTTCAATTAATTTGGAAGCATATATAATTTACCATTTAGTATTAATAAACTACAACTAAAATTTTAATATTTATTTATTTTATTTTATTTTTTTACAATTTTAACACTACTATGGTATAGAGGAATAACAGATTTCAAACATATATTTCAGCACTTTCCCCAATTTTGGTAAGATTCTTTTAAATAGAAAACAGAGGATAAAAGACAACGTACTTAATATCTTGCGGTTCTGATAGCATTAACAGTCACAAACAAAAATTTACATTTGAATGATAGTTAATCAAGATAATTTTTTTAAAGCCACTGTTTTTGCAATGAATTAAATTTATAAAAAAGATATAAACATGTTCATAAAACCTTAAAGAAATAATGGTCATTTTACAAATTATTAGAAAAAAAATTACCACTTAATTGCAATGTTGATTTAAAATCTTACACAAACTATGACATTTATTATTAAAATGTATAAAACATAGTTGCTTTGGCTTAACATGTAAAGGTTCTTTTGCTAAATTTTTACATTAAAAAAATAAAAAACAAAAGTAAATAAATACATTTGAAAATGTTTATGACGAGAATAGTGAGTGATTAGTTAATACCTGGTTGATTGCCATATTCACAAGTTTTGCTAATAAATACTTAGACTCCTGTTCACCAAGTTTCGAAACAAAGTTCTCAACATCCTGTAGGTCTATATCATCCTAAAAAAATTCAATAAAACAATGACAACTAAATAAAATATAATGTTAAAATAAAAAAAGATTTTTTGTTAAAAAGTAAAAGAAATAATTTGCGAGCAACCATTTGGAACACTTCGCATAATTTTTTTAATAACCCATTATATACTAGATTGCTAAAAATTAGGACTACTGTGTACTGCTTTAAATGTTAAGTTCTTAGTAATTTATAAATAAAAAATTTATAGTTTAAATAAAAATATATATTTTAAAAAATTAAGCATGAAATTAAAGTTAAATATAAAAATGTCATTAAGTGTAAAACAATGAAATTCGCTGAAGACAATAAAAAAAATTTCCTGATAACCTATTAAAACAAACCTTATAATAACAAAATTTCTAATAAAGAAAAGGTAAAAATAACTGAATCCTATTATTTAAAAAATTATTAACAAGATATTAAAATTATGATAGTATGAAAACTTACTTCGGCTTGCTCCATTTGAACAATATTTGTTTGGCACTCCGTTATGTTTGCTTGACAGTAATCAATATTAGCTTTTAAAGTTTCAATATGATCTTCATAATCTTGAATAATTTCTGGTTTCTAAACAAATGAAATTTAATTGAGCAAATATGGAACAAGATTAAAATTACATTTTTATTAAATTGTAATAAAAAGGTACAGGGTATCTGCTACATTTTAGATTTTCAAATTCATGACTTTTCATGATTTTCCATGACTAATTCCAAGAATTTTTCATGACTATTATAAAGTTACTATTTTCTCTGACAAAAACACAACAATAAATTTTAAAACGCATTATAGAAAAGCATTAATTTAAATAATAGGTATACCTAAAACTNCGCAGAACCATAATCTAGTTTCGAGCGGATGATACTTCTGTATATTTTGATCATTGAATTTGTGTCTGCTCCCCATGAACAATTTGATAGAACTTTTAGCAGGTTTAACTTTGTCACAGATGCTAAAAGTTCTATCAAATTGTTCATGGGACAAAGTAAAGAAAGAGTTGAAACAATGAAATAGCTGAATAAAATATAGTAATACAAAAGCATATAAAAAAATTTCTCCTTTTTCAGCAGAATTTTATTCTGAAGATACTTTTCTTGTTCATCAGAAAGGAAAGAAATACTCCAGATTTTTCTGCTTTCATTTCGGAATTAAAAAAAATTCCCCAATGACTGGTTTGCCTCAGCTAGAATTTTAAATTAATAAAATAATAATAAATAAATAATAAAAATTCTTAAATCACAGAAGTTTAAAAGATAATTCGCTCCAGAAATTATGTTTTACTTTCATTTTTGAAAGAACACCATAATTTTTAAAGAACATGATAAAAACATTTTATATTCAAATAAAATATGACTGTGATGATTTTGTTATGAATTCAGATATTCGGAACAAGATGAAATGGGAGGGGGGTGTTAATAATATTTCTCCATATTAATTATAATTTCTAATACTCAATAGATGGCGCTCTGCGCAGTAATGTAAAATCATTAGTTTTCTAATCAGTTTCCTCCATGACACTGTACCATTATCATCATCCTTTTGTTATTAAATATATATTATGTTAAAAGGCATTTGTTATGATTGAAACCCAGAGATCTGAGATCATATCACCGTATTTAATATTGGCGCACCAACCTGGAGCTAAGAATTTGATTAAAGGTGAGTGCACTTGATTTAAATAATGGATTCATACGATGATTTGAAAAATAAAAGAAAAACAATTCGCTCTTTAACAACTCTATTAATAACAAAGATTGAAAATTTAATAAATGATGATAATGTGGAATCTAAAGAAAAAAAAAATCGAGGAATTAATAGATTGTAAGGAACAGTTAATAGATAAAAATAAAAGTTTAAAAGCAATAAATAATCGAATTGAACCACTAATTAAAAGTGAGGAAATAGAAAATGAAATTACTGGTATTGAAGAATATTCTGAAAAAATAATAAAGTGGCAATCTCGAATCGCAAGATTTTTGAAAGAAAACAAAGAAAGTAGAGGAGGAGAAATATTATTAACAGGGGGATTCCATTTTAAAAATTAAATTTTTCAGCAATCTAATTCCATGATTTTTTTTTTTTAAATAGTTAAAATCATGACATTTCATGACAAATTTTGTTCAATACTGAAGTTCATGACTTTCCAGGTGCACGGATATCCAGTATCGCAGATACCCTGATACCTGAAGGTAAAAAAAAAAAAAAATTTTACATAAAATTAAAAAAAATAGTACCAAAAAGAAATACACGAAAATAAGAGTGCATGCAAAGTAAAGAAAAGTACAATCGATCCCTAAATATCTAACAGTACTCAAGAAATACATTCTTAATTTTCTTCAACCTCTATTAGGATTCTTCATAATGAGTAATAATAATGATTCTTAAATCACCTGAAAATGAACTATTAAATCTCATAGAAGTGAGATACATAATTGTAGGAATATAAACTGTAATGTTTGATTCATTGAGAACACAAATAGCAATGTGTTATTTTAAATTCCCATAAAAACTAAGTAAAGAGTGGTTTAGAAGTAAAAAAAAAAAAGGTTAGATTGATATAAATAAATGGATGAATAAAAAATAAATAAAAAAGCAGTCTAATATAGCGTTTTAAAAAAAGGACATTTTGTACCTGCTTTTATCATTTCATCTCATTTTATATACTTTATTCTTATTTTATAAAATAATATTTTCTAACTTAATCGTCGATGAAGATTGTGTATCATAGTTCTGAAGCTCGAGTTTGTGGAAGATATATGAAAAATTACAGTACATAAAAATGGAGACACTTTAAAAAACAAAAGAGAAATTGTACCTGTTTTTTCAAAATGGCATCACTTCTTTTCTGCTTAAACTGTTCTAATTTACGAATTAAATGTTCCCGTTCCTACAAAAACACAAACAAACCAATACTTTGTTTTACACAAAGAAGATAATAGGAATAATTGAATAAAAAATAAGAATAAAATATAGTAAAACATAATATTTTAACCAAAATGGGACTTTTTAAAGGTAATAAAATTTAGATAGTAGAAAAAAATAAAACTTATCAAAATGTGTGTACATTTATTTAATGGATGATTTTTTAGACACTTTTAACACAATAAAAATAATATATATTAGTCAGATCTAGAATTTCTCAATAAAACTAGTCAGAACTGTGCCTTTATTAAACAATAAAATATCAGTAAAGACTAGAGAACTGGAGGAGACAGAATTATAACTTGTACATTTATTAAATTTTTACAAAACTATAAAACTTAAGATTTTCTAATGCTTTTGTTATTTGTTAAGCATCTAATGAAAAACTATAAGATTTAAAGCCAGCCTAACAAGAGCTGTTCTAAAGAAGTCTTAAATTGGCAAATTTGATTCTTCTAGATTTTATTTCAGAATTTTAGCTGTAATTGTAATAAATTAATTTCTATCACTAATGGCTGCAGGTATCATTGGAAAACGATAGTAAGTTTTTTCTTTCTTTCACTTATTTCCCCTTAAACTTTTAAAAACTTACTTTCAACTGAAAAGTACTAAATAGTAATAATAACTTTATTACTAATTTACTACTTAATATATAAATGAAAAGGAATAAGTTAAGCACCTACTTGGTGACTCAAATTTCAATCCTTACATACACATAATTTTATACTCATTTATATAATGATAAAATTAAAATATTTACTTTTAGATATCGCTCCATATCTCTCTCCATATTATTTATGCTTTGTCGATTGATAACTAGCTGGTTGATCTAAAAATGATAATTAAAAAAACAGATATGAGTCATTAAAAATAGAAATATTTTTTTTATACAATTATAGATATTTTAATTTTATCTAATTCTAAAATATCAATTGGAGTCTGTTTCAATACCACTCAAACCCTTTTTTTTATTTTTCCTTTTTAAAAAATTTTATGAGTACAATTTTAAAATTATAAAAGCTTAAAAATAATATAGCTTTACATAAGGTAGAATTCCTGATAAAGATAAATGGAAAGGATGAATTGTAGGCTAAAGACTTCTTTAACCCAAAAGAAGGTTAGAAAATTGTTGTGTTCTTTTTCATACAAACATTTCACATTAGCATGGATAAAGGAATAAGTAAGGGGTCAGCAAACCCTTATTAATCTTTAATTATTATAAATATTTTATACTACCTGAAATGTTTCAAATAGCTTAATACGATTATGTGTTTCATAACTATTCACTAAGTAGACCTGAAAATAATCACTCACCAAATGGCGAGTCAACAATAAAACTAGCGACTTTATTTAAATAAGCAACTGTTCACTTTTTCCCATTGCTTACATATTATTTATTCTTTTTTAAAAGTAGTTTAACGATAAAAGTACATCAACACAGAAAAAAGCAGTTTATAGTTGAATTGACTTGCCATAGAATATTTCTAACGTGTATTTTTTTAGGCATATAATTTAATCCAAGCAACAACAAAAAAAAAAGATTGCAAAAAGGACCTATAGATAATCACCAAATTATTAGGTTTTAGAAAAAAGTGACTACTAAATTATTCGAATATACAGCCACTGGCTACAAACTGAAATTTTAAATTTTCAGGTCTATCAGTAAGTATTATTAAAAACTTAAAAGTGGTATTCTAGACATTATATTTAGGAGTTTCGTTCCTGACTCTTTTACTTTTATTCAAAATAGAGAATGTGTGATAGTTATTGGAATATTTCAGAAAATTGGAAAAAAAATTAATCGCAGCATTTAACACAACATTTTCATTATAGCTTACTTCAACTTGATAAATGATTAAATAATCTAACATTTTGCATTTTGAATAATTTGACCCAAAACCAAAATAAAAGATTACTAAGAATTTTTGTTATCAAATTAAAAAACAATTTTGAGATACTCACGTAACTTGAATTAAGTTTATAATACATGCTGAGAAAACAATAACGTAAAAAAAAAAAAAATAGGTACAATATTAGAACTTACGCTTTTCTCAAGGCTTTGCCAACGTGATTTTGCAACTTTCGGAGATTCACGGAGTCTTTTTGGAATAATAAATGCTAAAATATGTAAGAAAAATCATTAAAGCAAAGAAATAAATAAATAAACTTAAAATGCCATTATATTAAAATAAAGAATCTAACTCTTTTACTATGCTTATAACATAATAAATAGAAATTTGATCTTCTAATAAATAAGATATTTGAATAAATGCATTCTTTAAAACAAAATTGGAAACTAATAATTATAAATATAGCAACAAAATGATTTTTTTTATCTCTTAAGAGTATCACACACATATATGTATCAAATCACACAACCACTATTTCTAAAAAAAACTTTTTATAGCACGAAAAAAAGAAAAAAAATTAACTATAAATTTTTATCTTAAAAACTGTACAGAAAAATTTTGCTTAAATCTAATTAAAAAAAAATTTTTACAAATAGTGCTCACTTATATGGTTATAATTTAATAAAAATTACTACTGCTATTATAAATAATACTCCTAACTAAAGTTGCTCAATTATATATATACATTAATATATATATTAACCCACTGACGGTTCTGCACGTAAAAAGTCGCATTTTAACCTGCAGTCTTCTCTGCATAGCAAAACCGGTTTTCCCATGTTAACTGATAGGGGAACTGTGTGTAGGGGAGAAACATTCTCCCAATTTTGCCCATTTCCTTAACCGCCAGTGGGTTAAAA